ATATTTTGGATCTAGTTGACTTGGGTCCCCCCACCCCTTGTTCCTCCCCTCCTTGGAGTTTGCTTGAATGCCCATGCGAGGGGACAGCAGCTAAATGCCTTTCAGCTGGATGAGTGCCTAAGGTTCTGGGAGGTCATTTCCCTCTGACATGGCTGACCTGCTCTTTATATTTGTCTCGCTGCTGCACTCGTGTCCAGCCATGGATGCTGCTCTACTGATTTTCCAGTGCTAGACCTCCTCTGTCAGTGTTTATAAAACCCAAAGATCTGCATCACTTGGCTTAAAACAAATACCGTTCTTTGAAACTGGCATCACGTCTATTTCCTAAGTAGTTGTAGAAGATGGGATGGTGTATGTCTATGTGGGTTATGACTCTGCGTCTGTTATCAGAAGATTGCTGGTTCCCATGTCTGGCAGAGTGATGTCACTGACAGTCCCTTCTGCAAGACCTTTAACCCCAATTGCTCAACCCTGTTCTCTGATCCTCACGTTACCTTTAGCACAGACAGTGGAAATATGATGCACTGGAAGCAATTACAATTAAAAAAAAAATTGTGTTTATCCTGAAACGTAAACTAAATTCCTTGTGGGATGCTGGTGTTCGTGACTGAGGTCACAGGGTCGAGATAGGCAACCCCTTTAGATGTCTTATACCCCGGACTCAGCTGGGCTGTATTCACACTTTCTTGCCTTTGATACTGTGAACAGGGATATACCTTTTTATTTCTTTCCACTCATGATTTAATCATCACTCCCCAGTGTTTGCTCTTGCGGTGTGCCGAGGTGGCACTCGGTTTTATTTCCACGGCAGGGAGAACATGGTTTGCTTTTACCTTGGCATTTTGCACTGGGTATTTGTGGACATCACCTGTCCCAGACTGTGCTGATTATGTATGGAGGTAGTTCCGCTTTGTTGGTCGTGTCGCATAGATCTGGCATCGGCTGTGTCACTTTGAAGAATGACCAGTCACACTGATGCTTAGCAGCCACTTGTGTTGCCTCACTTTTTTTTTTTGTACTTACTTACTTTCACATTTACTGCTGGAGAAAAGCAATAACTAGATACCGAGAGTGAAATGGTGTTTAATTATGTCGTGTGTCGCCAATGGAGCAGCGATGATGGATGGTGCCGGAGTCCCTGGCTGAGAAGCACTGGATCTCGGTGGGTGTCTCTCCTTTCATGCCAGTCTGCTGACCGCAGTCTGAGCCTGACGGCTCACTGTAGGGAGGATGCTGGAGTTGGCAAGGTGACCCCAGGGCTCCAGCCAGACATCCATGTGCCGGAGCCTATGCTGAGTGGAATCGGCCTGGAGAATCCTCCCCAGGAGGATTTAAAAATGATTCGGGACTTGTTAACGTGCCACATGTCCGGGTCGATGCTTGAGGTCATTCGTGACTCTTTCTTTGCCTCTTACTTCATTTTCCAGCTCTTCAGTCTAGCGTAAAAGTATCTTGACCAGAGCTGCCATATTTTGCAGCGAGCCAGAGAGCTGGTTGGCCTTCATGACACATTCTGGTAGGATTGTTTTTCACACTGGAGAAATCAGCAGAAACAAAGGGCCAGTGTTTCTGTTATTTGTGCTTTAGACTAGACCAACTGCATCGTGTTTGTTCAGAGAATTCGATCCCAGGACATGTTGGATGCAAATAAGTTAGAATGGGCCATAAGTGCAGTTGAAAGCTCTGTTACGGGTGTCACTCATTGCTGAAATCAAAAGTCCTGATTGCCTGTGTTAGCAGTGAGTGCTTTAATCATGCCATTTCATTCCTGTACTGTAATGCGTTATCAACGTATTCTGCTCATAGCAATTAATTGCCTTAAATTAGCATGCCAGTGAAATGTCCTTCCCTTAGGTGTGAGCAGTTATCACATTTACCATGGTTCAGATCCCATCCTGGTCAGGCTGTGAACTCTGCTAGAACCTGGACGGAACCCAAACAGAACAGTAAGCGTGTACTGGAGTGTAACTGCATGAGAGTTAATTGTGCCTTTGAGGAGTCTGGGCTCTGCTTTACTGTAGCCATTCATCCTTGCCCCAGCGAAAGACCAATGAAGCCGGTATATTGGCTTCAGCTGGCCTGCACGGCCGTCACCGCTGGTGCTCCGTTATGCAGTCTTGGTGGGTACTCTGTTTATAATGGACCATTCCCTGAATTTCTGAGCTTATTGCCGCAGATCATGTTTCCTTATCCTGTTGTTCTCTTTCTGTTTGGCTTCGGCGTTGGAGCCGAGCACATGGCAGCATTTGTAGATGAGTCTGGGAGTCTTGAAATGATCACACTCAATGCTTTCTGAAGGCTGCAGTGTCCAGCCTCATAAAAAAGGTGAAAATTCCCAGGCTTTAAAGTTTTTTTTTTTTTTTTTTTTTTTGTCTTGCTGCTGCTCAGTATGGTATCGATTTAGTCTTACGTTAACGATGCCCATGTGATTAATTTAGTATGAACATGGTCATCTTAAAAGGGCCACCATCTCATTGTGTATCACCATTTACGGGCAGCTTCACTCTGACAAACAGACTCCTACGAAAAAATACCATGTTGCATAGCGAAATATCTGCACTTGGCTTGTTTGTGACTTTTAGCCCCCTAGTCCCAAGTGTAACTTATCTAATCACCCTTCAAATTCACTGTCCTTCACTATAGGTCACTATTCATTTGTAAACAGCATCTAAGAACAACAGGCTTTTGGCTGACATTTGTGTGACTGAATGACTAAATCCCAGTTAAACTTCTGAAAGAGACACTCAAGCCAGAAGCTTTTCACTTCCTGATAAACCCCAACTGAGTCAGCAGGGGGTGACACTACGCCAAACTCAGAGGACATGTGTATGTGTAATACTCTACCCATGCCTCCGTTGGGTAAACACGATTACATGGCAGACCTCACAAAGGATCACTATTTATGTGTGCTGAATGCTTTCAGCCGAGTGCCGGCACTGTGTTTAAAGCCGTACTTCCAGGATTTACGGGCTCATATTTATCTGTGTTTTTGCCTCGGTGCATTTGAGCAGCCTGTGTTTGTAATGGAGAAGTAAGAGAGAGGCCTTAATTGGGTGTTAAATTGCCAACGAGGTCAGCAAGCTATGCGATATTGTCTAAGGAGAAATAAATGACAAAGTGGTACTTGGCAGCACAGTACCATCTTCCCCATTGACTGCTGCTTCAGTACATCAGACCTTTGAAGGCCCAGGCTCTATCATGACAATTTAAAAAGGTGCGTGAAGACACAGGCCAGTAGCGATGACAAGTCACTGCCGCCCCGGTTTGGCTGCTTTCTGTATGAGCTGAAACCCTCTGACTGTGTATGTGCCAGCGTATCAGCTGAATTCTACCTTTTACCCCCAGGATCACTAAGCAAACATCTGTGCCTCTGCAACACGCATGAACAAAGTCCCTATAATATCTAATTGGTTCATTAGCCACAGGTCGCTAATTGTTTGTCACCTGGCACTACTTTGATTGCACAAAGCATTAGCCTTCATTAACGTTTGCGTATCCACACTTGACGAGAAACATCTTTGTGACTGATTTACAATTGGGTGTCCCTGGGGTAATGTCAGACCACAGCGAGAGGAGTGCTAATTCTGCCATAGTGGTGCTTAAATCTTGCTCCCATTTGGTTCTCTGCGGCCTGCTTAGACCTTTAACTACCCTGCTTCACGTTAGCAATTTGTCCCGATCTGCTGTTTTCATACCCTGATTCGGTCAGATCCATTTAATATTCATATTTGCTGATCCAGTCTTTTAATAAATATTTAAGTATACATACACATAAAGTAGGCATCAGTGCATTCTTTGCGTAAACCTTGTGATTTCTTGGTATTCTTCCTTCTGGTGTTTCTGCAAGTGCCTAGTTAGATTTGTTGTATTAAATAACAGTCTATCTTGACTTCCTCTTGGCACACTTTGAGTTTTCAATATAAGGAATTTCCACACGGTTGACATCTCAATAGTTTGTAGTTTCAAGCCATGTGCCTCAGGCTTACTGCAGTGTAGGACATTGCCTTACGATTCGCATAACTGACATAAATTGGGAGGATGGGGGAAATCCAATAGACAGGCTTTGAATCAGGCGGTGGTAGCCGATGCCAATGGAAAAAAATAAATACCCCATTTCCTATTTTTGATATTGGCTTGGAAAGTTACTGCTTCACATGTGACTTCTCATCTTTTATTAAAATATAACAATCAAAAAACTAAAGCTGAGTAAAACACCAAAGTAGTGGCCTTTCAGCCGGTTGATACAAGGAAGGAGCCTTGCCCCCTTCTTTTCCTTGAACTTTACCAGATTGCTTTCTGTCTCAGGGTGTGCCTGATATCTGGCTGTTTAGACCCCCACCCCTATCCCTTAGTGACTCCTTACGCAGCCTTTCCTGCAGCCCCCGGCCATCCTGAGTACAGGCAGTCTTGGCTTTCAGGTTTATTAAGTTTGGGCCATCAGGGGTCCATGAAAGGAATTAGAGCTGAGTTTGGGCTTTCGGGGGCTTAATAAAAGACTGAATTTGGTCCACTGGGGGCTTGGTAAAGGACTTCGAGCCGAATTTGGGTCTTTCAAAGAGTTCCGGCCATCAGGGGCTCACAAGAGGGCTCCAAACTGAGTTTGGACCATCAGGGGCTCACGAAAAGGCTCAGAGCCCAGTTTGGACCATCAGGGGCTCTTTTGTTGTATCGAAAGAGACATGGCATGGACTTGACGGCTGGCACAGACAGGAAGCTCAGCATCCTCACGGCTGGCCATTGACTGGCTCATTACTGCAATGATGGAAACGTACTGGAGCAGTGGTGTCAGCATGCTTACTTAGACAATGTACTGTACAAAAAACTTGCATTAAAGCAGTTAGCAGGACCTGGT